ATATCCATTGATTGACTGATTGATTGTATGTTGTTTTACGTCCCGTTCGAGAATTTTTCACTCATAGAGAGACGTCACCATATACCGGTGAAGGGCTTCAAATTTTGACCTTTACTCGGCACTCAGGGCCATTGAGCAGTGAGGGATCTTTATCGTGCCAACGCCTGCCGTGACACGGGGCCTCGGTTTTTAAGGTCTCATCCGAAGGACCCGCAACTTTCACTTCAAAGTGCCTAGCGCATGGCGAAAGAACAGTTGCTACCCATTTTTATCGACTTAGGTCAGTCGCGGTCGAGATTCGAACTCACGACCTCCCGATCACGGAGGGAGCGCTCTACCGACTGAGCTACCGTGAACGGTCTGTTGGTATCCAAAGGAATATCTTGTCACAAGGAATACACATGTGAAGTTTGAATGCCCAAGCTCGAACTGTTCAAAAGTTATGGCCAAGGTTAAAGACTCATCAAAATTTGCAAAAGTGAGTCAAAATCAAAGGCCAAGGTTAAATGAGATGGAACCCAAAGAGAGGTCTTGTCACAAGGAATACACATGTGAAGAATGAAAGCCATAGCCCCAACCAATCAAAAGTTATGGGCAAGGACAAACAGACAGACAGGGCAAAAACTATATGCCCCATAATCTTCGATTACGGGGGCATAATAAATTCATACATGGAAATGTTTGCAAATTTTAATGGTTCTAATAAATAAGATAATATCATGTGCTCAAGCTTTTCAGATGTCATTTTTGTTATCAACTGATTAGTGTCTTATGATTGATTTATAATAACAAGAATCTTGTGGAAAATTTGTACATTATTGTGCATCAATGTACGACTTGTTTCATACCAACTAGCCGTATTCCGCCATATTTCTTTCAGAAACCTCGTTTTATTGTAACGATATATATCCCAATGCCCTCGTAAAACTTGAGTGAGTTTTAGGCTTGGCTATCGACGAGTGCACATCTCCGATAGTAAAGTATCTGGGAACACACGAATTGATGAAAACATTTCAAAACCATAGCAGATAAAAACAGTAATAAAGATATTTATGAATAAGTATCGCTTTGAATAATATAAATGCAAGGTTGGAAGAAAACAAACATAGTTGCGCATGTTTTTAAAGCATGTCAATATACAGATATATAGCATAACTAGATATCATTGGGATGGTGGCCATCTCAAAGGGCCCCCGCTTTCAGCAACGAACATGAAAATGCAAGGTAGCTGAAAAGGGTTTATTTTGAAGAGGAAAATTTGTGTACTATTACGGGATGTGTTGTTAAAGTCTAAAGGACTTCTATGTCATCCTTGTTATAATAAAAAATGGCACGAAAATCACAAGTGCTCCATACCCTCTATCAAAGAACGGGACAAAAATCACGCATGTTGCATATCCTTTATCAAAATATGGAAGGAAAATCACAAATGTTCCGTACCCTAAGTCAATTGGTAAAGTTTGAGGCTGACTGGACTTAAGAGAAAGAAATTATGCACTGAACAAAGATTTTAAACAGAGAAGCTATTTTTGACCTTGATCTTTGACCTAGAAACTTCGTTCAAGGTCACTGCACATCCATTGACCAGTGGCACTCTGTGAGTGAAGTTTGAGCCACACTGGACCAAGGGGAGAGACGATTTGCTCCTGACAAGGATTTTTCATATAATTCTGCTATGACCTTAGCCTTAGACCTAGAAAAATGGTTCAAGGTCACTGCACACCCCTTTGCCCAAAGACACTCTGTGCGTGAAGTGTGAGCCAGATTGGGTCAAGGAGAAAGAAAATATATGCTCCGGGCAAGAAATTAAACAGAGAGGCTATTTTTGACCTTGACCTAGAAACTGTTCAAGGTCACTGCACATCCATTCACCAGTGGCACTCTGTGAGTGAAGTATGAGCTACATTGGACCAAGAGGAGAGAAGATATGCTCTGAACAAGGATTTTTCATATAATTCTGCTATGACATTGACATTAGACCTAGAAACATGGTTCAAGGTCACTGGACACCCTTTACCCAAAGACACTCTGTGGGTGAAGTATGAGCCACATTGGGCCAAGGAGAGAGAAGATGTGCTCCGGACAAGAGATCTCGGACGGACGGACTGACAGACTGATCACTATATGGCACCCGCAGAGCGGGGCCCTAATAAACTTGAAATAATACACAGTAAAATTCGTACAAACAATTTACAATTTTCTATCTTAAGAATGGAACAAACAACCAGCGTATTTGATATGCATGTCCATATGCATTCAAATATAATGAAACATACCGAAAGAACGCGTCGAACGCTGTAAACTTATTCATACCTGGAAAATAGACTACTGTACCCGTTCGAAGATGTGCACATGCCGAGTGATTTACTCCTTGTATTCCATTTATTGAAATATGCACCACAAAAAAGTAATAAAATCCATAAATACTCAACAGTAAACACGTTGTCATGTCATCGTACAGCCTAGCACTCAAATACACTTAGTCCTTGCTGATCAGATTTTGCTCACCTAGAGAAAATATCAAAAGTGAAAAGGGGAGTAAGTATTTATGCGACTGGGTAAAAAATAAGAAATCACAAAAAAAGTCCGATTGTTGTTCATGAAGTATAACTCAAAATTGTCTAGTTCTAATAAACATACAAACATTCTTTGTGTGTATATATTGCATTACAGGCTTCATTTATAATTTTTTAACTTGTGATTTTCGTAATTATCTAAAAACTAAACTGAGTAGTTTGGTGTGAGAAAATGATATCGAATACATCAAAGCATTTAACCAGAACACAAGTTAACAAATATACACACACGTGGGGAGTAGGGGGGAGGAGGTACTTCCTTCTCTGAGAGAGTCTTTCAGGCTCGTAGCATCGTTTTGAAAGGGGACAGCCGGAAGAAATGATTGACACTTTACCTGAAAAATCTTTGACAAGCTAAGAAAATGCTCGGAAAAAATTTGAGGGGGATCCCCCATCCACGCGTTCTACAGGTCTGTCTTTTATGGTTAATTTTATAAGGATTTTTTTTTAAACTTACTGGCTCCCCCCTCCCCCCACCAACTTATACTGTATTGTATACTATTTATCTGCCAGAAATGATAGCATGAATGGAATCTGTCCTCCCCCTGACTAAGGATTTTTTTATTCCCTGTTTTCCTTCTTCAATTTTCCCCAAGTATTCGCTATTTTTCTGCACCCTTCTAATTTTTAAGTGCCCAAAGTTTTTTGTTTGTTTGTTTGTTTTTTTTTTGCTTATCAACTATTTTACTGCCTCCCCCCTCCCCATCGCATATACAAATTTTGAGAAACGGTGCTACGTGCCTGTTTTATATATCTGCATAGGAAGCCTTTCCAGGTTGAAAAATTTTCGTAATCAGTATAAAAATTGATACCTATACAATTTCTTGTATTTTAAGAGAATCTTTAAGGATTAATTGAAACCCTAACCGCAAAATTGTAAATAATTTTTTTTTTTGCGTTTTCATTCAAGCATACTGACACACACTATCTCTCTCTCTCTCTCTCTCGTGTTAAACATACATAAGAGCAATAATTAAAGCTTATAAAATCCTATGTACTACAAGCAAGTTAAAAATCATGGGAAATGTTTTACAAAGGCAGATCAAGGAATTTTTCCGGAGGAGGGTGGGTCAAACCCGCTGGTGGCGTATGAATATATCTCCTTTTCTGCTTCTCAAAATTATTATAGAACAATGAATTGAGTTTTAAAAAATTCAACAATTAGAGACTTAAAGAAGTTTTCAAATGTAAGTAAAATTAATAATAATATACTTAAGTTTTAAATGTATCGAATAAATATGATTTTCTAAACAAACTACAATTTTATAAGCTTTTAAAAGCTTCCAATTTAAGTATAGATTTGAGCTAAGAATCAATTAAAATGGTTTTTCTCTCTTAGAAAACGGTCGATTTTTTTTGTATCATTTTGTATCTTTATATGACTACTTTACTACATGTGAAAATCAGAAAAAAATTAAACATACGGAGTATATAAAAATAACCAATATATCCTAAACATTTCAGAAAATTCGGATTAGCCAATATCAATTTTAGTTAAATTATTTGTGCCAATTTGGTAGTATCATCTGATAGACCCTGTATAGTAATATCTTTTTATGCAAAAAGAAAAACAATAAATCTTTGAAATTGAAGTAGGCATCGCATGATTGGCAACAGTAATTTTTTCATTTTTAATGTCAAGAAAAAAGATAATGACATTGACTTTACCTTGCTTCTTAAATAAAACGGTCAATTTTAATTTTATTGATACCATCACTTAGTGATGTCTTCTTGAATCTATGAAATTTCATAATTTTTAAATACAAGAAATATGAGAAGAATCCCTCCTTGAGGATTGTAGGATTAAAAAAATGAATATTTTGAGTTTATATCATAAAATATTGATCATCCAATTATTCGAAACAATGAATTGCATAGTTATACATGTTAATTTTCAAAGGCAATTCAGAAACGCATAGACGGATCCGTAAGCTTTGACAGGAACTGGACGGAATATAAGAATGGTTTTGGTTCACCGGAACAGGATGTCTGGGTTGGTAAGTGTATATCACTTTCAAATAAGGACTTTCATCCGCTTCAAAGTTTGACAAAATTTCTTTATTGTGACAGATAAAGAAAAAATGAAAGCGTATCAAAGATCTATTTTTTGAAAACTGGGTAATATGTGTTCAACGATACTCGCTTATCGTGTTTTCTGATATCTTAAACATATGAAATAAAAAGAGAGAAAAAAGTCATTTAGCGACGTAGTCTTAATAAAACCAAAATTAGCATCAATGTCTACAGCTAAAAGAAAACAATTTGATTTTTCATGAATGTATATTCATATTCAAAAGAGAAATAATTGTATTGCAATGGAGTTTTTAAGTTGATTTCAAATATATCTTAATACAGGAAATGACGTAGTCCCTCAGTTAACAAAAGAAAAGAACTCATTCCATTATGTGTCCATCACTCTTCAAGATGGTGCAACGTTGTATGAAATGTACGATCGGTTCTCTGTCTCCGATGAAACAGGAATATCAACTCTTTCTTGCAGGAACCGCCGTGGGAACCTTAGGTAAGTGTGTCCAAGCTAAGTTCTTAATATTGGGTTCAAATCAAGTATATATCATCAAATACTTCTTTTGCATTGAAGGATTATTAAGTTGTTGAATAAACAGAAAAAGATGCATTTTTTTCTAATATTCTCTAAACGTCTTTGATTCTATGTTAATTAAACGTTTTTAATATATCACGATATCGTTTGTAGGTACAATTCACAAATTCTACGGTCATTGAATTTCTCATTTCTTAAGTATTTGAAATTTAAATGATATTTTTTAAACACAAAAGAAATATGTTAAAGTATTTGTTAGTAGTATATCCAGTGACTACCTTTGATCCGCTATTGTTATTTAGCTTAGGTTTCTTGATTATTTTCGATAACTCACATTTTTTAACTACTACGGAATAGGGAAATTACAGCGCGTAATTAATATATAATGTCAACATTTTCATAAAAGCTTGATTTTCAAAGAAAATTTTTTGATCGGGAACATTGTCAAATTGAAGCAGCCAAATTCTCGACATCTCAACTCATTTCACATTTACAAAAAAGAAGTTTGTTTTTTAATCATAGTTTAAAAGTGTAACACGCCTGGGATTTATTGTTACATTAGAAAGGATGCTATTTGAATTACGCAGTGTATTTTTGTATTGCATTTTTATATATAATCTATATAATCCGTGATCTGTCTGTGATGTACATCAGTATTTTAGACAATAAGTCATCTCTGTAATATAGTTTCTGTAATTCTACAGGTGAAAGTATGATAAACGAGGGTTATTTTACCACTGGTCTGTCTGGGATGTCATTCTCCACCCCTGACAGAGATAACGACAGAAATAATGGAGGTAATTTTGCTCCTTACAGTAACCGGAGGGGAGGATGGTGGTTAAACGACCTTTACTACGCCGTCCTGAAGGGTAAATGGTCCCCGGCAGACTGGCACGATCCTTGGTATCCTACAGTATGGCGTGGAACAACTGTTAAGGAGACAATGATGTTGATCAGGCGTCACTAGGTAAACTTCGGTCATTCTTATTATAAATGTTTTTGATAATTTTACACTTAATTTGTCTTATAATCTGAAATCGCTGGTATGAGGAGTCAAAAAGTAAAGATTTATTGCTGATCTTTCTTTTATATTGTTTTTCTCTACAGATACAGGTTAACAAAGAAAGGAAATGGATGGATAATTCAATAGAATACTATTATTACGCGTAACTGATAAGCAATGTTCATAAAATAGATATTTTCATTTTAATTAATATTTGTGTTCTATTTATTCCCACTTTAAATAAAGGTTCGTGAATAAAATGGACATCCGGGGAATGGATATTTTTCTATGGGCCCTCCTGGACAAAATGTTGAAATTTCATATCATTACTGTTGTCTTTTTATGCATTTTAAACAAACTGAGTATAAGGCCTTCTTTATAATGTTTATTTGCTATCTCCCGACCGACTGGCTAAAAATGGTCCGCGTTTGCTCTGCTCCTGATTGTTATCGTTTGAATGAATTTTCAGCTTGAATACTGTTTGTTATCTCCATTTATTTGATTGAAGTTTATGAAGTGCAGTATAAAATGCCAAATACTTTGCCCTAATTGTTCATGATTTGGTTTTGTTTTGTTTTGTTTTTGTATTTTTTTTTGGGGGGGGGGGTCCAATGTTAATGTAAACAATACATGTAACAGGGTTTCTGATGGTGAATGAATAAACGCCTGTTAGGGTTCGTTCTGTTTATTGTATAGTTAAATATTATTATGAAATATGTAACAACAATATTGAGAATATCATAAAATCATTAATGCACAATCCAATATTATACACAATACTGCATAAAGGGAGATAACACTCGCATTTATTAAATATAATCAAATACTCCCTATGAGTTACATTTTGTCTATACAATTTAAAGTACTTTACAACAAAATATATATTACTATTAAAGCTTATAATATCTTCATAGACATTATATACCTTTTGTAAATAAACAATAGATCATAAAAACAATAGCATACAGTACGGGCAACGCGGTTTGGTCATTTACCGCGCGTTGCGGCGGTGTTGATCTCATCGCGGTTTGGCCAGGTAAATCAGGTAACACCGCTCATCCCCGCGGTTAGATTAATTCCCCGTCGCGGTGCAAAGTCTAGATTTCTGAGCGAGGATAGTATTGTAAACAAACGCGAGTTATCTCCCCCAATGGAAAATTATGGAAAAATTATCAGCGTTGAAAAATCAATAAAATTATGTCTCTATTAAAGAAAGAATACTTGTATGAATATTTTTTTTTTTCGTGAAGAAGATATCATAATTTTACTTTACGTTATTAAAATATACATTTATGAAACTGAGTATAATATTTATTTAAAAATACATATAAAAATATATTTAATAAATATTTTAATATACCTGCTTATCAAAATTTCAACAAAGGTTTGATAGCGATATTCTGTCGATATATATATAATATATATAATTTAAACATATACATTCATTAATGTCATACTACTATGGTGTCAATATCAATGTTATAAAAACTTACGGAAATAAATATTCAGAGAGAGAGAGAGAGAGAGAGAATTGCTTTTTCTATATGAATAATATCAAAATATTCAATCGACAGATAGTCTTTTCGATTATTACAAAAATTCATGAATGTATTATGAGACAGGAAGTATTATGTAAAAATGGTACCGAGTATGTGTGATGTACACTTTCAAGTTTTTTTTTTTTTTTTTTTTGTCTACTGGAAATTATTTTTTTTTATATTAGAAAGCTAATGAAAATACTCTATAGACACCGATTAGATTACAAAGAAAAGAAAAGAGAAAATAAAACACAGCTAGAAAAAAGAATGAAATAATGATTAAAGTTGATTAATTTTCTTACTGACTTTCGGAGATATAAAATTACTGTATAAACATCGTTCGATTGATCGTTCAACTCTGTTCAACATGTTCAATAAAGACCGATCTAGTGTGACTAATTACTATCAATTAAGTTCAATTTCATTTTCGTAGTAGGCCATCAGAAATGTATTATAATGGGTAGCGTGTTAACATTAGACTCATAATTAAAATGTTAAAAGAAATCTATAGAAACCGACAATTTTTCTGATACTACACTGAACATTCATCAGTCTTACACAAGTGATTGAACTGAGAGGACTTATTTCTGTGTTTTTGACTATAAACTGTGGATCATGGCTAGGCGACTTAAGCGTTTGGACACTCATTTTATTGTGCGGTATTTGTGTGACGATGAACTGCAAGTGAGAAATCGTGTGTCCTTCAAGTGTGATGGAGACTCTACAATTAGTGTTGGACTTGAGTATGATGTACAGTGGGGTAAACCAAAAGAAGTGGACAGGGCTGTTGTGTTGTTTTCTGGGACTGAACAGCAGATGCGGGAGAAAATTAAGGATTTGTTGGTACCTCTACCAAACCCAGTTGCAGCATCCTCAACCCCCCCATCCAGATCAACTTCCCCACCAAGACTGCGATCCCAACCCAGCTCACCAACATCTCCACGATCCCCAACCCCACCCAGATCACCTTCGTCAGCCCCTTCTCCAAAACGCAGGAAGACAACGGCTAATCTGGTAAGTACAAGTTCTATATTCACGTTTATTAATCAAAATCACATGTTCCATTAAACGAAATCAATGAAATACAATACATTTCTTATAGTAGAAAACATTAATTTGTTAAAATTCACAATAGAATGTCACATCGTCACACGATCATTTCATAATTGTACAACTGTATCAAGACAATGATATGTTGTTAGCTTATAATGAATAAATCTTTAAAAAATTGTCTTAATCACGCTAATTGTCCAAGTTTGGCAGACTGTTTTAAACGTTGTTTTAATGTTGAGATTCACAGTAAATACACAAACACTGCTGATGAATATTTTACACCCACTGTTTTAACAACTGTGAGGCCCTCGTGCGAACTTCTACGTCGGAATTCAGCTTGTCCTTGAAGTACGCAATACTTTTTCCTCGGGATTTTTCGGGAAACAGTTTCTTTGGCACGTCACCAGTAGCATTTCCCCTTTGAAAAAAGAATAAGGTACATTGGAATACAAGTTTATTACATAATTTGTGATCAAATCAAGCATTCATAACACTTTAATAGGCCAAGATGGATAGATGGAACACTTCATTTGCAGATATATTGCCCACTTAAGTAAACAACAGTGATTTATGTTTATCAGTACTTCATTGTCTTTGAACATTTTTCCTGGGGGTAAATGCAAGGCACCCTATGTTGAAAATGTGGTTATCATAGATAAGCTCAATATTTACACCTTTACACACCATAATTTTCTCAATGTCCAAAAAATATTTTCTTCTAGTGTATAGAGGGTCCTTAAATGATCTGTTTGTCCTAACTAATCAGAATCTTAATTTCTACCGTCTTAACTGTGTTTAAACACTATGTTTAAAACCTTTGTATTGTGTGCGTTCAAGCGGAAAGAGATTAACTTTCAAAGTTTACCTGTTTACTGTATATTTCACTCGGAGTTCAGACAGCTTTTTGTTAAAATGAAAAAAAGTCTTCGAGCGCGCGAGAGGGGGGGGGGGGTAACAGAAAACAAGAATTTCCTATAACAAGTCTCGAAATAAATAGTTAAGCACTGCATGGTCAATATAAATACAGAAAAGCAAACATTAATATAGAAACTGTATTAATTTTTTTTTTCATTGTTTTAAAATTTTTCTTTTCATTTCAGACAAGATCTGGAAAGCCGAAGGCTTCGCTCATCGCAGATGGCTCGCCGCCAGCCGAAGATTCAGCTACATCTATCCCCAAGACACCTGTCCGACAAAGACCTGCACCTGAAACACAGAATTCAGAGCCAGCCCAGTTAGAGTCACTCACTCCAATCCCAACGCCAGCGTCAACAACCCCAGTTGTGCGTTTCCGCCCTTACCGGACTTCGACAAATGACGACGATTTGGTGAAGGCGCTAATGAGAGAAGTCAAGGAAATGCGACAGACTCTGGATGTTATCAACAAAAAACTTGATGCGTCGAATAGGAGGGGAACAGCGTCAGATTTACAATTAAAGACAGTGCTTGCTAATACAAACATTCTTATCGATGTGGTCAGGAAAATCCCAGCTGCAAGTGGAGTGGAGTTCCTGCAAACCAGTGATCCTATTGCTGATACGATGAGTGACAGTAGTCCTGGAGATGTGTACCAAGGTGTTCCCGAAGAATATCAACTTCCAGATACCGTCCTCAGAGACATGATTAAGGAATCAAGGAACGCAGGAAATTTCGCAGTTAATCTCACAAGGAAGATCTTCCCCGAACTGTACGGTGAGGGCAACCTGCGAATGGAGTACAACTGGTACGGTGGTGGAAAACTCTCCAAAAAAGAACTGGATCCAGCGAGAAAGCAAGTGGTGAGGCGCTATGTGTGTTACTTCTTCCCAGAATTCAAACCCGAGGATTCCTGGAGGGAGAGGATCGTCTCCAAAATAAACGAGTCACTGAGGCGAAATGACAAAAGACTAAAGAAGGATAGTGTCAATCTTGTGATGCCCTCTGTGCCAGAAAGTGACCTTGGTTGCTCCGATGACGTCTTCACCTTTAATGACTAATTTTTTTTTTATCTCTGATTCATTGTTGTGACCCACATGTTGTAAACTCAGGGATTTATACGTTCGAAAGAACGATTGGAAAAGACAGTAACAGAGTAATATAATTCGTTATTTGATGAAGAAAAAATGTAGTTAATACATGTAAAAACACTATCCCAAAGAATATTAATACATGTATAAATGTGATTTGTTTGCTTTATTCTTTGGAATGTATCATTTCATTTATTAATAAAATAATTATAAAAGATTGCACTTTTAGTCTATATCAAAGGTTGTGATACTGAATGATAGCATGATATTTTATTGTAAAATAAATACAACTAGCAGGATATTTTATTGAAAAATAAATATAACAATCACTGAAATTTATAATTTAATGAGAATATTTACGAGGAAGTACATTGACCAAAGCCATTCAACGGACAATGTTTGGCACTTGGTCTAGTCTGTGTATTTTAAAACTCATACATGCTAGCAGAAGTTAAAGCAGACAGGAAGTGTTACGCAATGATTATCTTTTTACCTGAACACATTACAAATAATTGATTCCATTGCATATTAGATAGATCCAGCTACATGTATTTCAGAAAGAGGAGGTCCTATCAGTGGATTGAAAATTAGAAATTGATTTTTAAAAAATGAACAAGTGTATTTATTTAGTTCAATACTATGTATTGTTAAATTATTCTTACTTGATAAATAATAATATTCGCATAAATTTTTAAACATTCGAAAAACTAAACAGATGTCCCGAAGAATGGGGATAGGCGGTACAACCCCCCGGAATCCCTCTAGTTTATTAATTGATCCACCAATAACACCCTAAAATTAATGATTGGATGACTCGATCCATGCGCGACAGAACAGTGCACGTGGATTCCGTGAGCAATGCTTGTTAAATCACAACCCTTGTTAATGAAAGAATTTTAAGAAAAAATAGAAGAAATGAATGAAAATGTTGATTAAGATATCTTACTCTACATATTTACGGCAAACTTACATACTCGGCAATTAAACGATGAACGTTTTAACATATAAGGGAAATCTGCAATGTAGCTTTCAAGTTGTTAAATTTAATTCAAAATGCTGATGATGATTCTTATTATACAAAAATTAAATCTAGTATCCATTAAACTCGTAACGAAACTATATTTTAAAAAATATAAATAATTGTATACATGTACTCTCTTATTTAAAAAAAAATCTACACTGTATATATTATTAATTGATAATAAAAATACAAATTTGTTTAGTCACATAAAAGGCATTATTCTCCAATCAAAGAAAAACAATTCTTCTTACCGAAACAAAATAATTTTCCTGACGTTAAAAAACATTCCTAGAGACCCCCCCCCCCCCTAAAAAGATCGGTGATTGCAAATACATGTGCGTACAGGTAAAATATCAGAGCTGACGAAGAACGGTAGTTCACACCGCCGCGGTAAAGATGGTCTGTTACCTGCACCGCGATGAAAAACCGCGATGGTGTATCGCGGAAAGGATTAATACACCGCGGAGGGGGCGCGGTTAAATGACAAAACCGCGTTGCCCGTACTGTACCATTCTGAGGGAATAGGCAAGCTCCCGCATATTAAATGCATCTTCATCATGACTGGGTGTCCAGATGATAACTGTAAATTATCAAAGACTTTTTATAATTCTCTTATCATAAAACATATATGTACATATTTTCTGGACCATAAAATACACTAGCTTTTATGCTAATAGCTCATAAAAAATCTGACTTCCAAATATCTTTCTTATTGTGCAAAAGTGCTATGGAAATTAATATTGCCAAAATTACAGGTTTCACAATTAAATGAAATATATTATAGATATGTTAAAATCAGTAAATAAATATTAGCTTAACATAACATGAAGATATTGTCGGTCAGTTGGTAAAATTGTCAGAAACAAAATCTACATGACCTCTCTGCAAATTATCTGGACAGAGTGATCAGTAAAACGAGGAATACTTGGAGGGAATTTGACAAACCAATAAAACACAAGAACACAAAACTAAAACCCAATAGAAACAAAGAACTTATAGGATTTTTGGTCAAAACCTAAATTATGACCCTTGAGACAAATAACAGTGTAGCATAGCATGTTACACCTGAGCGACCATGAAACTTACTTAACAAGCATTCTGAGAGTATTGCAATCGCAAAACTAGTCCTCTACCGGCAAGTGTAATCTGGTTCCCGTTAAGAATTGAAAATGCCATAATTCCGTCAAAAATCAATGAAGCGGGACGAAATGCAACTTTGATCTATAACTAATCAAGGTAAAGTCACATACCAAAGATCAACTCAATATCTGAAAGCGTTTAGAAGAGAACTGCGGAAAACCCCTAAAAATTCAAAAGGCCTTAATTCCGTCAAAAATAAATGAAGTGGAACGAAATGCAAACTTGATCTGTAACTCATCAAGATACACTCACATACCAAAAATCAGCTCAATATCTGCAAGCGTTTAGGAAAAAGGTGCGGAAAACCAAGTGGGACAGACTGACAGACAGACAGAGGGACGGACAGACAGACAGACGGACGGACGGACTCAAAGGAAACCTATAGTCCCCTCCGGTTTTAGCGGTAGGGGACTAATAACCTGAAATAAAATATATCGGTATACAAATAGAATACAAGACATTTTGACATTTATTAATTAGAAATTAATTAATAAATTCATCACTCTTGCATACTTATTGTGAGTAAAGCAAACACGGACCTCTGAGGACATTAATGATGGGAACAGATCATTGGAAGCATTTTGTAACTTTTGAAAATCATTTCCTCATTTTTCTTCTTCATACTTTACGAAAATGTTGAATAGTTTTGGCGAAAATTCCGATGAATACAGGTCCCAAATGAAAAAACACTAAAAATAATGTCTGTCCTACCAAAACTAGAACTGTCCAAAAGGGACAAATACCCTCCGCTGGGTTTTTCAGAGAAGGTACCAAATCACTAATGTTTTCTAGATGTGAGAAGTGATCACAATTTGCTTAAACATTTAGAGTGAAAATTTAATTACTCATTTTATTTTTTTAATGAATGAAACTAATGTGCAGCCTAATAAAACATCAATACTAATAATTACAGTGTTTTTTATTACATTGAAAAAATAGTTTGCAACTATCTGTCATCTTTGTGAGACATGACACTCTGCAAATTGATTGTTGAAAAAAAAAATCATAATTAACTATACAAGTCAAATTGATCTTAATATCTTTATATCAAACTCATTTTAAAAACAAAAGGCTGGTTTCAGTAACTTTGTATTTTGACAGACATAAATTACAATATTAAGAGGCTTAGACAACAGAGATCTTAATTTCTTTCTGCCCAATTCCCAGGAGATATAGATAAGACCTGTTTGATCAGAGATGCCCTAACAGCTTCCCAAACTGAACTCATTAATTAATCTTTAACTGGATGCATGTCCACTCATTACTCCAAAGGGACAAATAGATTTACACTATCTGCTGTGTAATGTAAAAGCTGTTTTTAATATTTTGTGATTTTTTTTTTAGTTCTAATGAGTAGTTTTAAGCTGTAGTTCACATTTTTGTACAGATGTTCTAGATTCTATGTCTCAAACCTTAGACAATGAAAAAAAAAACCTGTAAAATGCAGGAAAATTATCAAATAATGTTGAAAATACCAGGTGCACATCTTCATATGGTAAATAATAAGTGAACAAATTTTCATACAAATCTATGCAATAGTCCCTGGGAACAGATCTGGACAAAACCACACAATAAAAATGAAAAAAAAAAAAAAAACACCTGTAAATTGCAACAAAATAATCCAATCATGATGAAAATACCAGGTGCACACCTTCATATGGCGATTAATAAGTGTACAAATTTTCAGACAAATCCTTGCAACAGTTTCCAAGAAATGGTCCGGACAAAATCTCGTTTACAGACAGACGGACATGCTGATTCCAATATACCCCCCCCCCCTAAACTTCGTTTGCGGAGGATAGAAAAAAGAAAACAAAATGAGAAAATCCAGAAGACTTTTTAATTCTTCGGCTCAAATGAGATTTTTTAACGAAAGTGTACCTTTTTATAATAGAAGCGCGTTCAGTATTTTTCATTCCTTATCATTAATTGTAAAAAATAAACATATACATGTAAAGTATTACTTAAGAATTTTGTAATGTTTATTTCATTGGATTTCAATTAAATGACTGTTGCAGATATGTTTTCAATTTCTGATTGTATTCAAAATGCACGGCTTTCGAAAAGAATAAAACGGGACGAAAAAAATCATAACTGAAATGAATTTGTTAATAACTTGGCTTGTCATACTTTGTATTAGAGGATAATGATAGAATTTGAGTTGTAGGGTCGGGTAAGGATTCGTGTAAGAAGCTAAAACAATGTAACACGGGTTATATCAAGGGAAAGATACTGTTGAAATCGACGGTATGATTAACTATGAGAAGGGAAAAAGCCAAATAGAATGACACGAATTCAAGTGCGACAAAAAGCAATAGCTTAGAGTCATGCTCTTAAATTTACATTGTCTACATCGACAGAAGGACAAAAAGTAGATTGGAAACATTGATTGATTGTATGTTGTTTAACGTCCCGTTCGAGAATTTTTCACTCATACAGACGTCACCACATACCGGTGAAAGGCTTCAAATTTAGTCCCTCACTCGGCATTCAGGGCCATTGAACTCTGCATTCAGCGCCATTGAACAGTGAGGGTTCTTTATCGTGCCAATGCCTACTGTGACACGGGGTCTTGGTTCTTAAGGTCTCATCCCAAGGACCCGCAACTTTCACTTCAAAGCGCCGAGCGCTTGGCGAAGGAACAGTTGCTACCTATTTTTTTTTTTATCGACGTATGTCAGTTGCAGCCGTGATTGGAACATACGACCTTTCGATCACGGAGCGAGCGTGATACTGGAAATTAAGAAAGATAGATTGAGGTATTGTTTATTGTTTCACGCCGATTCGTCAATATTTCAGCCATACTTCGGCGGATAATTTAG